TATTTTAGGTGTGTGTTTATCACACACACACACACACACACACACACACACACACACACACACACACACACACACACACACACACACACACACACACGATTTGCTTTCTTTCTTTCCTTTCTTTCTTCCTTTTCTACCTTCCTGTTTCACTGCGTCCTTGCTCCTCGACATTTGAGTGAAAAGCAGTCAATGCTGATCAATTCAACTAGAACACGGCTTTCCTTTGCTTGAGGATGTGCTGTAAGCTCCATGAGCTCACATCTCTTTGTGTGTGTTTGTGTGTTTCAGATCACAGAGGAGGAGATAGAGCGGATCATGTCGGGGCAGGAGTTCAAGGAGGACGTCCCGGAGCACACCTGGGGCAACAACGGAGACAGTGACCACAGCTCGCCCAGCAACGGAGCGTCGGAGGGCAACCAGCCGTCCCCCGCCTCCACCCTGTCCTCCAAGTGAGTCGCTCATATCGTCCTCTCAGCGCTGAGCGCCAGCACTCACCCCATTATTGAGATAATGAGCCGGCCCTGACAGTCTAACACCTCTTTCCCATCTCAGCCAGACTTTAGTTAAAGTAAGTAATCAGCTGAAGAATGCCTGAATGTGCAGCTCCTCGACGCACAGATGATAGCAAACACAAAGAACTTTCTGCTATCTGCTTTTCTTGCTATGGATACGAGTGCAGATCTGCAATCATCAAGGACAGATATTGTCTAGCTACTTGCATGACTGTATTTATTTTAGTCTCCTTTAGTATAAACACAAGGTTTATCACCGTAGCCACACAGCCTGAGAGCTATTCAGAAGAATTCTTGAACTATCAAATGAAATCTGAGCAGAAATAAACAACAATTACAGAATGCATGTGCTTGGTATGCAGGTACAATGTGAAATGCAATGTTTTGTCTTCAAGTGTTAAAGGGAGTGTATGGGATTAGTTTTGTATCATAAAGATAAAGCAACACTTTCTCAGAATAAAGCAAAACTATGAGTTTAAAAGAAAAAAAGACTAAGTCAAGCAAAATAAAATACATTTCAAAAATAAAACTATAAGTTACAAACAAATCATTTGTGTAATCATGTAAACTATAAGTATTTTTTCTTTGTTTTAACATAGGTTTTTGTTTGCAGTTCTTGTTTCTTCTTTCTCAATGATCACACCTGCCTTGTATAGTCCGGTTGAATCGAACCCTGGTGCGTTTAGCCGCTTGGTGCGGTTCATTTGGGTTGGTGTGAACACAGTCCGAGACCTCTTAAGTGAACTAAACAACCGGACTCTGGTCCGCAAAAATAGGTGGTCTCGGAGCGCTTGCTTGCGAACTCTGGAGCGGTTCATTGCTGGTGTGAACGCAGTCCGCACCAAAACATAGGAAACGCAGTATTTACGTGTCACAAGAACACGGATATCTTCAAAAATCTTTAGCGATAGAGTATTTCAAAACATCCACGGTTGTTTAGTTAAAGAGTAAGGCAGAATTAAGTGTTGAACAGTGTCGTGTAAAGTAAAAATTCTC